AAGGAAATAAGGAAAAGACGTTGGAAGTGGTTACGACATACACTGAGGAAATCACCATACTGTATCACAAAACAAGCCCTAACTTGGAATTCTGAAGGGAAGCGGAAAAAGGAATGCAGATATGAAAAGGATGAATAACAACTAGAAAGGATTGTCCATTTTAGAGTTTGATAGAAAGTGCTGCTGGGTACCAATATCCTCCTCCGTGAGGACTATCACCCTTTCCAGAAAACACTATCTTACCCTACAATAAAACATATAGCCTAATATTTGCTAAAAGTAAGTAACATAAAAGTTGTGAATCTATAAATTATTCACTTTACAAATGAAATCTTATAACATTTCCCCTTTATTTCACCATATAACAATGAATAGCCATTGATCTAACTCATATCAACCAATACATTATTGATTCAATCTATTGTTTAGTTATGAATAAAAAACAACAGAACTACTGATTTACCAAATACTCCCATAAATTACCGATTACAATACTCTAACAAACAAACAAACAAAAATCACATAGTAACTCATACATACAAATAATAATCATGTTAATAAATCATTTAACTTCACAATAACAGCAAACAAGAAACAAACAAACAACACATAAATGACCAAACAGATAATGGTTAAGGTTCAATCCTATAACAAGAACGAAATAATAAATCATTCAAATGTATTTATCCATACTACTGATATATATTCCTATTCATATCTTTATATGCTTGTGTATACATGTCAAAAAAAAAACATTCTACATTGAGTGTATTTTTTTCTTTCACTCTATACTTTCTTCTTCTTCTTCTTTGCTTACATTGTTGTTATTATTATTATTATTGTTATGATTGTACTTGCATTTTTCTTTTACCTGGTTCTATCAAAACATTACATTTTGTGTATTCGTTCAAAATTGAAGAGTTTATCACTATCATGATTTATGCATAACTAGTATGTATCATATATATGTATATATGGCATAATAATGTCAGAAGTTGTAAGCTTTTCTCTTAATCTACCTTCATTTTCATCACTTCAAAAGATTTACTAACTTCCTACAATTCACTAGCTATTTATATTAAATTTCATTATTATATGAAAGTACCTGAAATATCTTCATATGTATATCAGGAAATCAATGAATAAGTAGTTTACTCTAATCTACAATTTATTGACAATGTGCAATTATTACTATATACAAAACTGAACTCAATAACTTTTAAATTCTGCAGTGTGTATAATATCTTCAGACATTGAGTCGAGATCCAATATCTATCTATATCAGAAGGGGTTTTATGAAGATTGTAGTAATTTCAATAGTTGAGATCATGAGTCAATTGAAGATAGACCACCATGGAAAACCTGGAAGCAGTAGACGACCGTTTTGTCTTATTGTGGGACTACTCCATGACAGTGCGCATCCACGACTCCGACACGTGGGATTCGAATCCACGACCTATCAGTCTTGCGTGCGATCGCTTAACCACTAGACCGCTTAACCGGCATCCAACAGTGTTAATAACTTTAATAAATTCATAGTATTTGATAGTTGTCATTTATTGTAATTGGTGAGCTAACCACTTAGATTACTAACTTAACTAAAAATGTCACAATTACCTACTAGAAATCTATGAACTAATGAATGGATTATTGATTCTATTGAATATATCACACACATGAAACCTTATTACTCAAGAATTAGTGAATATGGGTATGTTCTGCTTGTATATAACGGTGTGAAACGCTATAAGTTTTATATATGTGAGAGAATTTTCTCATTTCATTTGTTTACACCCTTGTATTATTATTATTATTTATAATACTGAGCCACAAACCTATACATAGATAAAAATTGGATAACACAGTTACATCAATCATTTGTTTTTATTTAAATAGAACATAAACAAATACATAATGTTCGTTTGGTTTTAGACATCAGAGTATATATATATATGCTACATTCCCTACTGAATAGTAACCGACAGTTGAATGTGAGAAACAAATACTAATCTATTTGCCTATTAGTCGAAGCGGTGATTATGATGTTAAGATTAAGTGAGGTGGGGGCTGTTATCTTTTTATTGTTATTATTAAATGTTATACAAATAAATAAATAAAAACAAATACAACATCAAAACCAGTCACTACAATTATCCTCTTGTGAATTCAACAGGGATTCACTAATAAAAATAGAAAAAAACGAAGAAGAAGAAGAAGAAGAAGAAAAGAGGAAAAAGAAGAAAAACAACATTCATTGACCATTGAATAAAACAGATTTTGTTGTTATGTAAATATACCTTAGTCGAATGATTATTAGTCATTATTAGTTTGATTGATTTGTCAATGATTATATTGTCATTTATAGAATTCATACTCTCAATTGGTGTATGTCTGTTTGTATATTATCTCTCTGTGTATGTGTTTGTGTGTGTGTATCTATACGAGTGACAGGATATAAGTGTTTGTATATGGATTTTGATTTGTAGAACTTTTCAATGTTCTAAATGAAATGTGGATAATACATCAATTTACTGAAGTTTATTTACATCATAAAACGTAAATTAAGATTGTTGAGTGAGTGTGTGTGTATGTATGTGTAATTTCGATATCTCTAGCATATTAAGGTAATGTTTAAGTACCTTAATCACTAATTTAGATAGAATTCTTTTTATCAACATAATATAGTTAACTAATTTCAAGTTTTCAAAGAATGAAAGTTGAAGATCAAACTTGAATACATTTTAAAGCATAAACATTTCATTTGAGAATAAATAGTGAATCTCATTGATTCATCCTATATCTGCTAACATTTAAGTATAAACAGTATGAAAGTTTGTGGAGATTGTATTAATTTTAATAACTAAATTCATGAGCTGAAGTAAGTTAGACTAGCTTCAAGATGAATTTCTTGGAATTCTAGTGAGAAACTATGACCAATAGAGTGTAATCCGTGTTTGGTAGAGACAGATATCTATCTCAAACAATAGATAAATAGTTGCCCAAGGTCAGCTATCGATTGAAGTTGAACATTAACACTGTTGGATGTCGGCTCAGTAGTATATAGGTTAATCATTCGTGCACGAGACCGAAAGTACCGGGTTCGGCTGTTGTGTATGGGGTCGCAGATGCACACTACTGAGGAGTCTCATACTAGGATGAGACAGCCCTCCAATGCCTCCAGGTTTTCAATTGTGATCTAGCTTAGATCGACCCATGAATTCAACTATATATATAGTTGTATATAGTTTAGTGATCTGCACCGACTTTATTAACCCTATGATTTCGTATAAAAACTGTTTTGTTACTTAATAAATCCTTACATTGAATTTTACGCAATTATTTTAATACGTAAAGCATAAAATAATCGTATCTTGTCATAGTTAGTTTGTATGTTTCATTGTTACATTTCTATTCAGTATTATCTTCTAAGTGATTGTTCAAATTTTCAACCGATTCAAAACTTCATAGAGTTTTATGTCTTCCAACCTTAATTATCGATAAATACGTTTAAAATGATAATAACAATAATAATAAATAACGGCTGATATAAATCTCGTTAGAAAACACTATTGTTTTCATCAAGCTAATAAAGATTTCACTATATATTTCGATAGTGCTATCTTAAGTAATTAGAAGAAATCGATATGGTTCCTGTTATACCTTGAAGGTTGTTCGCTTGATATACCGCGTATAACTGAGCACTAGAACACCAAAACCCTTCTAAGTCGCAATAAGAAGACAGAAGACTAATGAAAGGAATATTATTCCCAGACAGTGTCAAATTATAATACAAAATTGTCAGGTATTTATGGTTTTTGGGAAGAACGGAATCATCATTACAGTCCACCAATCCGCATACAGGGTGTTATTAGCGTTGTCTAATCAGGAACGTACACGTAGAAATTCTGGAATATTCTCCTAAAAGGTGACTGGATGTAATATCTCCGGCTCCCTCTGAGCCTCCTACAGCTTTCTCGAGTTCACCCGTGGTCCATCGTCACAGTTCCCTTAGACCACAGTTTTTTTCACTTATCAACACTTGTAAGAAGAATCAATAATGTGATTTAAAGGAAACAAAATAAACTATCAATGAAATCCGCTTTGAAATTTAATGTTTATTTACACAGTCTAATGCTCATATTAGAATTTGATCCGAATAACGTTTGCAAATTATCATTCAGTGTGAACATTTCAATTATACATTAAAATTATCCATATTTTAAACAAAATTTAATGTTAAAATGTTTCTATGTGATTGAAAATTGTGCAGATTTCAATCTTTTAACTAAATACCAATATCAGATGGGTTTTGTGCGTATAATAGTAATTTCAATGGTTAAGATCATGAGTCAGTTGAAGCTAGACCACCAGGGAAAACCTTGAAGCACTGGACGGCCTTTTCGTCCCAATGTGAGACTCAGCAGTGAACATCCATGACCTCGCCCCCTGCAATATTCGAACCCAGAACCTACTGGTTTCGCGCGCGAGCACTTAACCACTAGACCACTAAGCCGGCATCCATTGGTGTTAATGTGTAGCTTCAACTAATTCACGAAATTGAGTGACACATCCACCATTGTCTTCAGTGAGTTACTATGTCACAACAGACTTGGTTGAACTCCATTGGTCACCACTTCTCACTAGGACTCCAAGATATACCTCTTGAAGCCAGTTACTAGTGAGCATACCAATATATTCAGGAAATGATTTTTAATAAATAACAAATAATGTAACAACATATTTAAGTCTAAGACTTTCTATCAATTGCCTCCAATTTCATTCATCCGTATTTATATATCGTTCATTTATATTCCATACACTTATTAGTACAAATTCCAGACTAATTAATTATAATTAACTAAACATATTGCATATATCTATACACACAATTATATACGAGTTATATACATGTATAATTAATCAACTGTATTATTTCTATTATTTATATCCCATTCAAAACTAAATCGACACAAAATCATAGTTACAAATCAACAGTATATGATTGTTTATAATTGACATTTATCATTTACAATATTGATCAACTGGTTTATAATGTTGTATCTTACTATCAAAAATTCCATATTATCATTTATACACTCTTCATATATACATATACACATCTACATACACAGTAGTATGTTTTAACTGTAGGTAAATATGTTAAGTACATTTAAATACATTAAAAAATGTTAGTATTCCTAATAGCCATATTAACTACTCCTACTCTTACTCCTCCTCCTCCTCCTCCTCCTCCTCCTACTACTACTACTACTACTACTACTACTACTACTACTACTACGACTACTACTACTACTACTACTACTACTACTAATAATAATAATAATAATAATAATAATAATAATAATAATACTGATACTACTCGCAATACTACTAAAATATGCGAAACAGTAGTCAAACTATACAACATATAATGTTGTTTATTTTTAATTATAATTTTTTATGATTTCAATAACTATTGTTTTGGCAATAAACGTATATAGAAAAATAAAACAATAGATCAGATGAGACATTTCTAAATATTAGTTACGTGAGTCATTAGATATAATACAATATTGAAAAAAAAAAACGAAAACAACCTGAAGGAACAATACAACAAACAAGATTTTTATTATTGTTATGTTCTTTGATATAAATGAATGAGCTATGAAACAATTACATTTGTTTTGAAAAAAAAAACTTGACTATGCTTCATCAAACAAACGTATAAATACTTTATTAATACAACTGAAACGAGACTTCAATAGTTGAGATCATGAATCAATTGAAGCTAAACCACCAGGGAAAACTTGGAAGCATTGTATGGTCGTTTCTTCCTATTGTGAGACTCCCTAGCAGTGCGCATCCACGAGCCCGCCTCGCGGGATTCGAACCAGTTCTTCCAGGTTTCCAATGGTGGTCTAGCTTCAAGTGACTAATGATCTCAACTATTGAAATTACTATAATCTCCACAAAACCTCTTCTGATAAGACGAAATTGTTTAAGATAACACTAACTATTTTACCAGTTCATATGGCTGATGTTTCTATATTCATATGAAGAAAGTACTGAATCCAAAATGTTGCGTCCTACGACTAATGATAGTGGAAAAATCAATCGCTTATCTAAATGTGATCCGGTAACCGTTGTGGGCCTCCTCACCCACATTAATTCCATGTCATAAATTATTCACTTCATGCATTACTGTCTTAAATAGTAACAATAGTCGTCATTTAGTATCAAGATATTATTTATTGAATATACTATCCAGTTTACCTTTCATGGCACATATTTGACGATTCCAAAAACACCAGTGTAATTAAACTATCATCCTAGTATACATTACGTATTAATGAAAACCTTATGCATATGAGACTTACATGTGAGTCGTGTTGCATTTTATTAACTATTGTATTACTCGCCAGTAACCAACCTGATAATCTAACAGTTTATGTTATGTTCAAGATAAGATTCCCATCAAATACATCATATTTTCAAGCAACAAGGACCGATATTTTCAATAAAGAAAACCAGTTTCTTTCTTATGATTGGTTTTTAGGTCAATGCTTATTAGTTTCATGCTTATCTATTCATTCGTTGACATCCCTAGCTTTATTATTTTAGTATAAAGATTGTGAAATAAATGTTATTGTATTTGAAGTTTAGACTATTATAAATTTACCAGATGATTAAAGCATAATAGTTTGAAAAAACATTCAACATTTATAATCATTACATCATGATTCCAATGTATTCTATAGCTGGTTCTCCTATACTAAATATGAGTTCCCTATGGGTATTAAATCCTATCAATTGATGAATAACCTTCAGAAAATGTTTCAAAGTTTTCATTATAGATTAGTTTTATATTAAATGGTTGTTATGTAATATAGTTTACATTGTTTCAGTATACATTTACTATACTTAATAACGAATTTTGTTATTATAAATTTTTGTTCTTCCTACGCCTGTTACTCCCAATGGAGCATAGGCCGCTGACCAGCATTCTCCAACCCACTCTGTCCTGGACATTCTTTTCTAGTTCCATCCAATTCTTGTTCATTTTTCTCATGTCTATCTCCATTTCCCGGCGTAATGTGTTTTCTGGTCTTCCTCTTTTCCTTTGACCTTGAGAATTCCATGTGAGGGCTTGTCTTGTGACGCAGTTGGGTGCTTTCTTCAATGTTTGACCTATCCACTTCCAGTGCTTCTTCCTGATTTCTTCCTCCGCCGGGATCTGGTTTGTTCTTTCCCACAGTAGGTTGTTGCTAATAGTGTCCAGGCAACGGATCCGAAGTATTTTGCGTAGACAACTGTTAATAAACATCTGTATCTTCTGGATGATGGACTCCACCTGGAGTCCCTCTGGAAGCTACTGACGTTCCCAAGCCCGGGTAAAGGAGGAGGGTTGGGCATGGGGTTAGCGACCCCATCCCGTAGAAAACTAACTCGCTAAAATAACTCTATTATAAATTCACTTGATAAATATCATGTTTATAATCTAATTGTCTTTATTGACATTAATGTAAATATCAATTGTGCTTCTTTTTTTGTGTATTTTTTTCGTAATGCTTTTGTCTGACTTATATATATATATATATATATATATATATATATATATATATATATATATATATATATATATATATATATATATATATGCCAAAATGTATTCCATTGAATCGAAAGAAACACACACATATACATACAACAAGTAATTAGATTTGTGTTTTGCACAACATTTATATGACTAGTATCTTAGATACCATAACTCACACTAATATTTTATATACGGTTTAAAAAATGTTCAAGCTTAATACATTTATTATACATTATATAAATCGGAAACTAGAAACAGTCCAATGAACCATATGTTCACAATATTTTTTTATGGGGAAAACAAATGGTAAATTAACTGATATTATAAACTACTTATTTTTTTAAGTAGTTTAATAATGTGCATATTATAAAAAATGATCTGGAGAGATTATAATTTATGGACGAGCCAATCAAAAATGTTTTAAGGATTTCAAGTTCATGGCACCAATTTCACTACCTGATGTTCATGTATGATCAGTTTATAAAAGGATTTTAGAGAAAGCATGATTATTGAGCGACTACAATAAATGGGACTACTAAGACTTCTAACTCTCAGGGCAGAGTTTAAATGGTTTGAATTATTTTTTCTGGTAAGCTTTTTTTTAGCGAGTTAGTTTTCTACGGGGTGGGGACGCTAACCCCATGCCCAACCCTCCTCCTTTGCCCGGGCCTGGAACCGGCAGTAACTCTAGAAGAGCTACAGGCGGAGTTGGGACTACTAAGAAATTCCTTTATTTGTGATTGCAGTGATCAAATAACTTGTGGACCTTGTGAAACTAACGTAATGATGTTGTCTTTCGATGTGCTGGAGGAATAAGTCTGCTAGAATAGTGCTTTTTCGCTCGATTCAGATTGAGACTAAGGTAAATTATGACAACTGTTGCGAACTGGATAATAAAAGCACCAGTAACACTGACTGCAGCCGGGTACTACAATATATACAGTGTTAGAGAGTGTACATATGCCTATATAGACTTGGTTATGTGCATCGTATCGTCATCCACAAGCGGCATTTTGTGGACCCAACAACCGGAGAACATACAAACAATTTCGAAGCTATCTGATCGAGGTTGAAAGAGATTCTGCAACTTTATCATAGCTCCAGAGGCCCACTCTAATGAAGCTATATAGATGATCTCCCCTACAGTATGTATTACGATTTCAGAACCTCCGAATCTCTTTCTAACCATGTAAAAGAATTGTATCCCCTCTAATTTTTTAATGTTCATGTATAATATATTTGTACTCTATACTAACTGTTTTCTGATTGGCCAATAATTCTCAAGGTCACTTGAGGTTCATTCAAAGTTCGTTCATAAATTATAGTCTCGCCGAGAATTTCCATTATTTTGGGAAAATTTTTAAAAAATATATTAGTGTTTAAAAACATCGTGTTTTCCTGATGCTCTGTTTACATAAACATATATCCATTTATGGAATCCTTTAATAATTATTTTTAAAAAGTTTGAGAAAGATTCTTAATAATCAAACTTTTTTTGGTTAAATCTCAGATCCAGAAAACTTGAAATAGAAAGTTTAGGGAAATATCAGTGTATGGGGGTTGTGGAGATTATTACGTATTTGATTGAGATCATGAACCGATTGGTGTTAGACTACCATTGAATACCTGGATGCACTGAACGGCCATTTCATCATTTAACTCACGTAACCTAAATTGATTTACGTAGTTGAATGGGAAATTTTGACTTCTGATTAAAATGTTAGTTATCAGTTGGAATCAGGATTCAGTCATTCAAATTATTTATAATAAATATTCTTTTTTGTACTTCACATAATAGATTGATCATAGTTGGAAAGCCCTTTTAAATCACCCATTATTTTTCAGAATTATCATGTATGAGCTAGATATCACCAACAGAAACGGATAATAGTCACATATTAGTACGAATTGGTTAAAATTGACAATAAAGACTATACATCACTAGTTCAGTGAAGCTCTCACTTTATAATCTAAAGATTTCTTTCCATATCTTAAGCTATAAATCTTTCATAAAGTTTTGAAATAGAATGAATTCTCATTGATAAGTAATGATTCGTTCAGAATAAGTAAACTATTCTAGCAATTAAAATAAATCATAGTGTCATTGAATAAGAAAAAGAGAATTCAGCAAAGAAAATTTTCTTTTCGACGAAATCATTTACCAGAAGTGGTTTTGTGGAGATTTTAGTGATTTCAATAGTTGAAATCATCAGTCAATTGAAACTAGACCACTGTAGAAAACCTGGAAGCACTGGACGGCCGTTCCGTCCTAGTATGAGACTCCTTAGCAGTGCGCATCCACGATCCCGCCCCCTGCGAGATTCAAACCTAGGATCTCTCTAGAGGGGGATAGAAAAGATTGCATCACAAAAAATGGATTCGAGAATAAATAACAAGTGACGTTACGAACTAATTAAGGGGTAAGGAAGAAAATAATTTATGGGTCAGATAATAGTCCAGTTGACAGATATGAGGAAAAGCGACAAACACAAAGGTCATAATAATAGACTGAATAAACTTGTAAATGGTAATAATAGTAACTGATTAGAGTTTGAAATGGAAAACAGTAATTTGTAAAAAAATTCGACAATAATCAACTAAAAGTGCAGGAAAACAAAAAAAACAAGAAAACAAAACAAAACAGAAACATACCCATTAAGGGAAACAGGGTTAAGGAAGGATGAGTGGGTTGAACAAATCGTTCCTGAACGCAAAGTTCAGTCTTGAGTTCGTGGATTGCCAATGTCTCAGCAGTGCATAAAATATTGATTCAACCCCCCCCCCTCGATCCAGTTCCTCTGACTCTGTAGATGACTTTAAAAGCAGAGTCCTTTG